CCCCCTTTCAACCCTCAATGGCCTTTATTGTGTCCTCCTTCTAAAACAATGTCCTTCTGTGCCAGATGCACAAGATTCCGGGCCAGCCTCCGTGTATAGTGGTTAGGCTACCGGACTCAAGATCTTGAGGTTACTGGTGTATGGATTCAAGCCTCAGGCCTGACGTTGTGTCCTTGGGAAAGGCATTTTTTTAACACTAATTTTCCTCAATTCACTCATGTGGGAATGGGCACCCGGCCATAGACAGTGAAAGATCTTGTCACTATGTTTTTAGCGCCTGTAAAATGGCAGCTTACAATGTGTGTTTCCCACGAAGTTGAGATAGTTTCAGAGTGCTACCGGGTCTGCTATGGTAATAATATAGATTGTAAAGCACATAGAGCTTGCTGTTGACCGAGAATTTGCGCTTTACAAATGCTATCTATTATTATTATCAAGGACCAGAAGGCGGGCCATTACTGTGTCATTGTGGCTTCATTCAACTCAAACATTCACACAATCTGACCTTGGTCAAGTGATTTTGACTTTGTGGTTTTTTTAATCTGATTTATTGAAGCTAAAAAAGCGTTATGCCATTCTGCCAGAGATGATGATTGGCAGATTAGCTTTTGAAAGACCTTGCAGACATTGGACTGTTGGAGTTGAAAAAACTATGCTTTTTTATCAACAGTTTTGTTGTGCTGAAAATACTTTCTTCCTCTGTATTGTTGCTGTAGAGGAAAGCAAGTATGAATACCTATTCATATTCTAGTTTGTGATGATGATAATAATTTTTTGTGCTGGACAGAGTTGGGAATGAGTGAAAGGTTAAAGGAATTTCAATTAATTCCCAAGTAAAATATGATTTCCTGAGAGTTCTTTATCAGGACATTCTTTTAACATTTAATATGTATAGAGGTTTGATGGAACATTAGCAGCTCACTTAATGTCATGCTGTGCAATGAATATATATAGATGATTCTGGTTCAAAACCTTAAGCAAAGGGGTGTACCAGAATTTTAGTTGTTTAGTGTATTTTCATGATTATCCTCAACCTGCTTGGTTTCGTTCGTCAGAGATGAATATTTTATTGGAGGTTCCTCCTCTTAGGTAATTTTACGAGTTTGACAGGAGTGACAATCCATATCATGTAACATAACGTACAGAGTTCTGAAACACCTTTAAGAGTAACAAAGACATTATTGAACGTAATGTCTGATGTATCCCTGCTGAAAACGGTATAGTCATTCCATTTCAGATTTGGACTCCAATTTCTAGAAAATTTGGAGCTCGCAGTAGGATATCTTCTTTCGATCTCACTTTATGCTCTTTGGAATGTTGTAACCCATCACTATCTCAGTGCATGTGGTCCCCTTTCGTCAGCTTTGTGCAGTTAATAAATGGCCTCTCTGCCATTTCCTCAGGCAAATTGATGTTTGTTGATTCGAAATGGTGCAATAAAACTGCTTGACATACATCCTGTGAATTACTCTTTCTTTTAGCATTAATCTCTTTGGTGTACAGATGTTATCATGGCACTTCTTCACCTCTGCTTCATGCAGCTGACAAGGTATTTTAACCCTATCCCTACACCCTGGGGTCATTTTGTACCCCCAGGCTTCTATTCTTCACATTTTAGAATACTTCTAGTAGGAAGATCTCTTTGAAACTTTCAGTATTTCTCAAAAGCTCATTTTGACAGACTGCTACGCAAGGCGTACAGATTGGATTAATGAGTAAATTTCCTCTTTGGAAAGTGATGGCATAGAGTTCCCCACGTCGTTTGGATACGATAGTAAAACAGGACGTACAGATCGGGTTAAGTTCCTTAACCCTTTGAGCCCTAGCCACCGGTACAGCAGTGACCGAGACCCTATCCCAAACCCAACCCACCTGGGACCAAAAGGGCACGAGAAAGTGTGTTTACTACACAGGACGTTATTTAAAATTACTTTATAGATTTTTCTGAATTTGATGCTGGTAATGACAAGGACTACCCTGAGTGGGATATGGAATGTGATTTAGACCATCATATGAATGTTAGTAATAGCTCAGGAGCTCAGGCAGAGGTAACCTCAGGAGGTCAGGGCTCAAAGGATTAAATGTAGTAAGCTGAAATCAAAGACTGACATGTACACAACAAAAACTTGAAGTAAGAAACACAAAAAAAGATTTTTTTTGGCTTTTGTAAAAAAAAAAGTCATAATAATTTATAATGTGACAGTAACTTGCACAAGTGTAGCATTGCCATAAATATTCCATCCAACACAACCATGAGAACAGCATGGTGAAAAAAATCATGTAAAATAGGGGCGATAAATGTAGAGGTTTCAGCAGTAGTCACATACGCTAGCGTACGTATTTGGTCAAAGAACCCATAATAAAAGTTGTCTTTCACTACACACAATAACGGAGAACCGGAAGTATCCAAGTACCCAATCAGAGTAACCAGGAAAAGTGGCCATCACTACGCACAAGGTACTTACAGGAAAACTTTTTGGGTATCAATAACACCTTGGAAATTAGAATGAAATTCATCATGATAAAGCATTGTCTACTTCAGAAAGGCCCAACTTTCATTACTTTCAATTTCAAGAGACAAAAAAATTTGAATGAAAATCATAGTTGAGAGGCTCAAAAAATGTAAGTTTGTTGTTTCTAAGGACACCCAAGCTTTGGAAGTTGCTCAAAGTTACTGTACTTTGGCTGTCATTTTCTAGCTAATTTTACCTCTGGGACCAGGCGACCCCCAACTCCTTTGGATTTTGAGAGGTGGGCATTTTTGGCTTTTTCAGCCTTTCTTACACCTATTTCATCGCATAAGAAACCCCTAAATCCTTCAATATGTCCTGTACGGTTTCATTACGCATATAATCTAATAGAGGCCTACTTCAACTCTTAATATTCCAGGTAATCATACAAATATTCATATTGCTTATCGACACATTTTCCTGTCAACCCTCGTGAGTAGACAAAGATAGAGGCACAAAAATGGCATCATTATTAATGACATAAGAATATCACACAAGTGCTTGTCAGCAGTGGACCAATATCTCAAAACCAACACAAGCAAAATAATCACCAAAACCATTTTGACAGCAGGTGGTAAACACAAGGCAACAACCTTATCAACAGTATGATTACAATAGACGAAAGGAGGTGATTGAAATTTGAAATACAGAATAACACGGATAGGTCAAACAAAGACTCTAAATCTTTGTAAGATATCCCTCAATTTACGGATCCCTCCAACTACAGAGGCCGGTCCCGAATAATTCAAGCTATACATGTTATACTATATGTTGAACAAAGTGGGAACTTTCAAAAGTCTTGTCTTCAAACACTTTATGGGAATGTTTTAGTTCTAGTAATGAGGGTGCTCGGAGAGTGTGCAACTACTTTGACTGAAGGTTCTGCCTCTGCTGAAATAACCCACACAGCTGAAATTGGCTTAATATCAAAACTCAAATCTGGAAGTCAAGAGGTTCTCTTAAAAAGAATTCTGACACCGCAGCATTATATTATATCCGCAAAGGTAAAAATTAGGGAAACAGAGGGGAAAGGTAGTAGCGGTTTGCACAGAGAAGCGGTTTCCTTGTTTGCTTCAGATACTTAATTCGAATTATTCAAATCACCATGTACTACTATCACAGAACACAGCTCATTTTTTAAAATGGAAATGGTATAGGTTTAATGCCCCTATCAACACTATTAGGTTGTTTAAGAGGAGGGACTTCCAAGTTTAACGTTCATCTCCAAAAGGGCCAGTGCCTTTTCCAAGGACACAACATCGGACCAAGCCGACGCTTGAACCCCTTAACGCACAATTACATGATTACGAGTCTGGTAGCCTAACCTCTGGGCCACCGACGCGTCCAAGCTCATCTTTACCTCTGAATGAAATCTGAAAGAGGATAAAGCAACATGATAACCATGACACTGAAATGTAAAAATCACTTTCCCTCTGTTGTTTCTATCTGTTTGTCTTATTTTTTCCCAGCACTAAATGACCATTATTTTGTCAATGTGCTTCTCTTTACTAAAAAACAAACAAAACAAAACAAAACCTTTGAAGTCTTCAAGCTTTCTTCAATAGGAATCTCGAAAGTTTTGACATCTCCAGCTTATGGTTCCCGCGATGGGTAACTAGCCTGGATCTTGTGCATTTGGCACAAGGGAGACATAGTGTAATCAGGACATACGATCATCAGGAATTTAATGCACCAGTCTATGCTCATCGATGTTACCGTATCGAACACCGTGCTCCCCCACAGGCCACGTCAGTAAGTCATTGTTGTACCCTGGGTATGCACGCTTCTGCTGACCCGTGTGTCGGAACACGGCGTGACCTTTCCCGCTGTACAAACCAACTCCATGACCTTCGTACGCACGCGAGTCTCTGTTCAGGATGGGTCTGCCATAAGTGTCAACAAACGCGTTGCCATCATAAGGGGGCATACACAGTCGCAGTTTGTCCAGCAGGAAACCTGGCCAGGCAGCGTCCGGGTTACTTCTGCGATTCAAATTTCTGAATCTATTCGGAAGGTTTCTGAGGAGAAATGAGAAAAGCAAAAAATGATGATGATGATGATGGTGGTTTTTCACACAAAAATTACAAGAGCATGATATAAAAATAAAAGGCTCAAATCTACTTTTAAAAGTTTGTCGTAGTCTGTCCAGTCCATGCACTTACAGTTACAGCTCTGGACTCAGAAGAAAATGAAAGAAAAGAAAATTACACGAGTGTGAAGTTCAGACACATGTAATTATCTGATAGTAAGGAGCCTGACATGCTTTTAAAACATACATAATAAATAATATGTGATATTTACTTTGACATATTTTGTCTCTGTCTTTTAGCTTTAATTTTCCTTACATTCTTGATTAAGACCACTTGTTGCTTCACCATCAATAACTGATCTATCTATTTCAGTCTAGTACTACATTGCATTCTTATGAAAACAGCACACACAAAGAGAACCCACCACAGTCTCACAGGCCCTGTGTCAAAGATTTCATTAACAGCAATAACACAGGTAGATGGAACACTTTTGGTGCTGAGCCTACTCTGAACTTTAGGAAAATTTAACCCAATGAACCCTGACCTCCTGAGCCCAAAATAACTTGTCCCCTGGCTTCCTGAGCAAAGAATGCCTACATGGGAACACACAAAAGACACAAAAGTTTGTTCAAACAAATTCTCTCTCTCTTCCATGAGTTCCTTGACCTTTATTATAATACAATAATAGTTAAAAGGAACCTACAAGTCCTTTTAACGTATTTACCCCCTTTTTATCCGTGTACGGACTACTGTTCTATAGTAGACGAGCACACAACCATGGTTCAGGGCAAGGTCAAACTCAAACAACCCGGACACCGATATATCAGTGTCACGGGCTCATTGGGTTAAAAAAATCATCCCTCATCTTCTGCACTTTCCCTTGAAATCCTGAACCAATATTTTATATAATATATATATAATGGATTGGGGGGTAACAAACAGAGTCACTGAATGAAAACAAAAGTGTTTAAATGTTACGGTGCTTCCTGATTAAAAAGGAATACAAAAGACAAAAATAACAGAACAAAAGGAACGGCAGAGGAAAAACTTGGTGCACCTACCAACACCCATTCCCTTCATGGCAGAGCGAGTGAATTTTGGAGGATATTTTTAGATAAACTGTTCCACCCAGTTATAAAACTAAAACCTCCGCTCTGCCACATTAGTAACAAAAATAATAAAGTTATAGGAAAAAGTAATAATGTTACCAAAAAAACAAAAACAAACGAAAATGAAACATTTTCCAAAGTAGCCCCATGTCACTTTTATAAATAAAGCTTGTGCATGTTTAACTAATTCAGATGGTGCAGGAAGGAAAAATGAGCAAGAGTGAACTAGCCAAATGAACTGACTGACACTTTCCAAACATTTGAAAAGACACAAGTTCATCAAACAAGCACATTATCTTCATTTTCAAGCAAGATCATTTTTGTCTGCAATATATAAATCGTGTCTCAAATAAGCTTTAATGAAAAAATGGTGCAGAATGAAGATGAAATTTAAAAAACACATCTAAATGGCTTTTGAAAATTATAAAAAGCTCAAGGTAGAAAGAAGACTAATCTGTCCCAATCTGTTAGAGAAAAAAATACATTTTCCTGAATTTCCCTTTTCCAGTGCATAACATTTTGAATAAAGCAAAAAACAAAAAAGTGACAATCTACCCACAAGCACCAATGTTGAAAAGAGAATCTGAGGTCAAACTGCTTTTTAAATTACCAGCAAGTAGTTGACCAGCTTCCTCTCTAAAATGGAAGTATGTGGAAAGATGGGCAAGCATTATTCTTTGATAAAGTGCATAATTTACGTTCAAGATACCCGCATCTGTGATGTAGCAATTAGCAGGTGCTTCGCTGTCGCATTCAAGAGACCCAAGTTCGATTCCTGAGTGGGGAAACAATTTTTATCTAGTATCTTGGTCTTTCTGCTGGGATCTTGTATCCCTCTCAGCCCTGGTTGGCCCTGACAGGCAGGTTTGAAAGCCTGCATCCTAAATTATCTAAATTGTGCCAATGAGGACATTTAAAAAATCCCTCAAAAGCCAGCAGATCAGCTTCATAGAAGGATTCAAGAGTGCAGATCTTCATATATCTAGCAGAGGACTTATGACTTGTCCAAAGGCATTTAGAAAACTTTTTTTCTTGCATTTTTACCATACTCATTTTGAGCAATTCTCGATAATTTGAGTAAGATTGGTTTTTTTCTCTTTTTCACTGTTTACTTTTATCTGTATAGCACATATTTTCAGTGATTCATTTTCAAAACGAAAACATAGGAGAGAACACAATTATATACCTCATATAATACAGAAAATTAACGTGACTTTAAGCTGAGAGACTAAAAACATGTAAGAATTCCATTATGTTTCAAAATTTTTTTTTAAATCTCCACTTGCATGAGATTCCTGTTTTCTAAAACCTTGTTTGCTTCAACATAATTGACGGTAAGAGGATCTAGCCTTAACTTTAAGCAGCATACTACGTGTGGAAATGAGCATAATACTTTAATACACCCTTACACCTCTCAAATAGAAGGGGAAAAATCATAATACAGTCAAACCTGCTCAAACAGCCACCAATCCAAGACAATCAGCCGTATAAACTATATTAAATGACTAATTCTCACTCCCCCCCCTCCCCACCCCCCATCCGTACATTTTTAAACATTATAATGACATTCAAGGCATCCATCTGTTTAAGACAATCACTTTTATACACCACAAGGGGTGGCCATCTCGGAAAGTCTTAACTGTACAATTTATCCGCGGAAGAAACCAAACACCCTTCCCCTTTCCCTTCTCCTTCCCCCCATCCCATCTTTGATCAGTACTTACTCTGTATACTTGCTGTACTCCTCAAACGTCATCCAGTTGTCCACTTTGCGAGAGATAAGAGCTCTACCAGAGCTGAGGTTTTCCTTGTAGACCTTCGGCGCTACGCTGGAAGCAAACGGGTACACATCCTCCACAGTCACGTAGCTGCGTTTAGAGCTTCCACTGCCACTTCTCTCCCCATCATCATCACCAGCAGCTCCGTCACCACTTTTCGCAAAACCACCAGGAACCCCGCCACTTCCCGCTCCGCTGAGACCGCTCAAGCCTGACGCTCGGCTCACCCGCCCCATCCCTCGGCGTCGTTTCTTGCTCTTCTTCTTTGGCTTTGGCTGATTGAATGGGCTGACTTCATTAGTGAGCGGTCCGAGAGGTAGAACAATGTTCTTTTTCAGATGGTTTGTAGGCATATCTCCAGGATAGAGGAGAACTGAAATAACATTATACAGGGTGTTTTGTATGAGAGAAAAAAAACCTCACAAAATATACAACTGAAATGACAACTCCCATTTTGTTCACATGTACTTAAAAATAACAAAACGTCCTATTACCAATTAATATACATCACATTTCAAAATGGAAAATGTTCTGATGTAGCTTGAGCATCTCTACCTTTCAGTCTCAACATGAGAAGAAAAAAAACAACCTTTCAGAGCCTACAACTTAAAAAACATCAATCATATTCAGCACCAGGCAATAACATATAGTCAGCTAAAACAAGCAGAATAAAAACTGCTAAATACAAAAGAAAATGATTTTTTTAAATTAGTCACTCTTGGCCTTGAAAAAAAAAAGCACTTTACCAGCAACCTTCAGCTTACACTGCTGCTTCTTGGAGCTGTCTAACAGGCAACTTTGATGTAAAACATGTTCAATATTTAAAAGCTAGTGTCTTTTTCTTTTTCCACGCGAAAAGTATAAAAATACATACCACGATCCAAAGTTTTATGGTTGAAAGGTAAACCTTTCTCTTCACAGAGTTTCTTCACTTCAAAGTACTCCTTCAGTTTCTCCCTCCTGAACTGGTTGACCATGTCAGAAACTCCGCTGCCCAGGGTCGACTCGGAGCAGTGGTCGTCAATAGGTTTGTACCCGACTTTGATCACACCAGGCAGCTCATCAAACATGACTTTCTGCTCCCGAGAAAGCTATCATGAAACAGAAAAGGAAGAAGTTTTATACGGTCGGGAATGGATAACTCAAACATGTTGAGGATTGATGAATATGTTTGACATATCCATAATTATGATAAACCAGTGTAATGAAAAGTTTTAAAATATCAGTTGGGGAACACCAAATTGTATGAACTGTCTGTGATTTTGAGTTTTCGATGTTCATGTTATCTATGCTCCACTGTAATTACACTAACTTATTGGACAAAAAAAGTAAAATGCTGTCTATTTCTTTGAAATAATGAAATGCAAATGGCCATAGAGTAGGTGGAGTGCGCTCATATAACCTTATGCAGTTGCGAGCGCCGTAAAACCCTATACAAAACAAGAGTAGGTGGAATTGACTGGAAAAGTCTTCAGAAAAAAGAAGCTCAGAGAGAGACAAGGACTGGACAAATTAAGAGAGTGTGAATTAAAATACTTGGAAGATGCTCTGGTGTCCTTTTTAATGTCTTGGTACACCATAGGTTCTGCTTTTTTACAGGGACCAAATTTACACATTAAATGTCCATCCCACTATCCTCAAGATCCAATGATGACGAAGTTTAATTCACAAAAATTATGGAGTCACTTGTTCTAGATGCGATTTTTAAAAAAAAGGTTTTCATAAACTGTCCCTGAATTTTCCTGCACCTAAAAACAAAAAAAGGAAGGAAACTTATTATTTTCAAGGCATCTGGGACATTAGCTTCATTAGCAATGCCGTTAAAGATTTGTAAAGATTTTAGTTGCAGTTTCACCATATCGTCAAACAAACTTGAATTTTACTAGCAATCTTGGACAACCAACTCACACTTCTTCTGAGGTTACTTCTGCTCAGCACGACTCGGTCGTGTTTCCTGATGTCTACCATTGCTTCGGCAGACTCCGGAGCTCTCGTCTCATCTCGGAGGTCAAAGTCTGGAGGCTCCAGAGTGTTCGGTGTGCTTGTCCTTGACCTTGATCTACTGTCAGAGTGAGTGGAACCAGCCCGACGAGACTCCGGCCGGCTACCCTCTGCATACGAAGGAGACCTCTGAGAGAAGCAAATTAGTAAGAGAAGCAAAAAGTTAACAGGCCATCAATATTAAACATTGTTTGTTTTATTGATGGAATAATAATATGGAATAGAGTTTGGGTCTGAGTAAAGAGAAGCACAGCGATACACAAATGGTCATATAGTTGTTTGTTCTATTAATGGAAGGATAATAATATGGAATAGAGTTTGCATTTCGGTCAGAATTTTTTAGTTTGAGACTGGTCAAGCTTAGACAGGGGCTCTCACTTCGCTCAATTGGTATCATGCTGGACTACAGAGCGGATGGCCTTGATTTCAATCCCAGACTAGGCATTCTTAAATTCAGGTCGTTTTAGCGGAGTTTTCAAGGATCTCAACCCATTTGGCTCAGTCCAATCGTTTAATTCAAAGGTCCTACCTCTTCAATAACCTTATAGGGTTGATACGGGTGTTACATCCAAACACTTGCTTTTTACTTACAAGCTTATACACAGGAGGATCACCAATGTCCTTTCCTGGTCTCACACTCAAGGAAAATTTAATTTACTATTTATTGACCACACTCTCACGATCACCTTCACAATGACAATGACAATGACAATCTTTATTTATCTCAAGGGGAGAAATTTGTCTTGGTCGTTTACTATAGCAGTGGACGATACAAAGGTTAGGTGCACTCACTCATACACACAACAAGAAAGGACATTAGTAAATACATGTTTTACGTGCTGAAACAACCTCGCTCTATAAAACGTTCTCTCTCTCTCTCTCTCTCTCTCTCTCTCTCTCTCTCTCTCTCTCTCTCTCTCTCTCTCTCTCTCTCTCTCTCTCTCTCTCTCTCTCTCTCATCACAATTTTCAGGGAAAAATTAACAGAAGATACTACAATGTATTACCTTATCTTTTCCTTTCATTCCCTCTTCCTCTTCTCCAATATCTTCAGCTGTTGTTGTGGCTCTCGGAGTGTCTTGCGACGGGAACAAAACGTCCTCGTACACAGACCGGTCAAGGCCACTGTCCACAGGCAATGTTTCATCAGCTGTGTTGCTCTTGTCCACGCTCTGGTTCTCTCGAGACAACGGCAAGTTACTAGACAGCACATCAGAGAGCTGCACTCGCTGCTGGCTACTGGGGGCAGAATATTCGGCATCATGCCCAGCCATCTGACTCTTGTCCTCTTTGGAGGACACTTTCGAAATACTGACATTTGACCTTTCTCTCGACATTGACCTATCCACCGAGTGGGTGTCTTTTAGCTTGCCGGAGCCGGTCCTTTCCCGAACCAGTACTTCCTTTGATTGTGGTTTCTTCATAGACTCCCTAGATACCCTCTCTCTCGGGGTTTGTGCCGGGGTCGACTTTGAGGACTTTTCCACAGAGGCACCCTTTTCCGTGTTTTGTTCGCGGGAAGCTGTTCTACGACCATCTCTTTCTCTGGATGGGGGTTTCATGTCTTTAACAGGAGGGGTCTTTGATTTGCCTGAAACAGAACAAGTAACAAAATGTTTTAGTAGAAGGAAATAGGCATTTTAAGTTATCAAATGTTCAAAGTCTTCAGAGACTTGTTCAATCACAACTCACTATATCCTCTACTTTTGGGTGAGCATGAAGTTGGCAGTATAGCAAGGCTGGTGGTATAAAAGGGATCTTAGGCTGTCCTTTGTTAGATAACCCCAGCTGTCCAACATCAAGGAAAATTATTCTGCTGAGTGATGTGTTTGAAAAGTGTCTTTTTGTTGATGAATTATAAATGTTTATATATATAGAAAGAAAGAAAGAGAGAGATAGATATATTTATATATATATATATATCTTTCTTTCTTTCTCTCTCTCTCTCCCTCTCTCTCTCTCTCTCCCTTTTTCTCCCAGTCTCTCTTTCTGTCTGTTTCATTCTCATTCACTCTCTCTATACATTTGTGTGTGTGTGTGTGTGTGTGTGTGTGTGTGTGTGTGTGTGTGTGTGTGTGTGTGTGTGTGTGTGTGTGTGTGAGTGTGTGAGTGTGTGTTTGTGTGTGTGTGTGTGTGTGTGTGTGTGTGGTGTGTGTGTGTGTGTGTGTGTGTGTGTGTGTATGTGTGAGTGTGTGTGTTATAAGAGTGTGAATACAAATTCAATTTAAAAATCACATGACTGCTGGATCAGAGGTTATTTATCAAATGCATGGCGCCTGAAACAAACAAGACAAGGGCAGGGGCTGGAATGGGCGGGGAGAGAGCAAATCGGAGACAAGCTTTAACTCGCAAAGTCGTGTGTGGGATAAAAAAATAATTGAGCAGCTGCCGGATGAGTGCTGTGCACTGCAATTAGTGTGTATATCTGGCTGCCAGTTTGGAGGTGGTTTTGCCAGGCAAATTTACATTAGTTCAATATGGAACATACAACTCAGACAATCAGCAGGTGGTGATTTAAAGGGGAAATACAGTCAACTCAGCTTGTTTTGAACTCATTCGAGTCGATCTTCGGTAAGCTGATCTTTTTCTCAGGACCCAGCACCTCTTCTTCTTTACAGGTACCAACGATCAAATTGATTTTTGGATGAGTTTATCTCTTTTTTACCCATCAACGACATCAACTCATCCATAGTCGACTGCAGTATGTTTATAAATAGAAGTATCTTTTAGAGCATTAGCAAAACTTGCTGTTATTAATTTATCTAAGCATTATACAACCTAATTGTATTGCAAGTGCTGTAAAAGTCTTACTAAAACTAAAAGACTTAATAACTGTCTTTGCCTCACTAACTTACAAGGCTTTGGTTATTACCTTCAAACCCTAGAACAGGAGATTCAGATGCAAGGCCCTGTCTCTTTAACTCTCTTCTGTTCTTTCTCCATTGAGTAAGACCCTTGTTGATTTCTTGGTAATCCAGCTCGTCATCCAAATTTGAATCAAGAGTGATAATGATGTCATCAACCTCAGACTCAGTTAGAGGGATTTCAGACTGTACAAGACAAAATAAAATAAAAATTGAAACATTAGTTTAATATAATCAATATATCAATAATTTACATCTTATTGAAGTTCATATAATTATTTGCGGAAGTGAATGATTGACAGCCTCAAATATTAACATGACAATGGCAATGACATTCTTCATTCATCTGGCACAAATATATTTGTTGGTCGTTCACAGTACAAAGCGTTACAAGGTCATGTGCACTTGTAAAATGTGAATATACATGACAAGAACAATGGACATAATATATTTATTACATGCTGAAACACCTCCGCTCCAAAAACAATCTCTCTCTCTCTCTCTCTCTCTCTCTCCTCTCTCTCTCTTTTTCTGTGAGTGTGAGTGTGTGCGTTTCTCTCTCTCTATTTCATTTGTAGCACTGTTAGTTTAATAACCTTTAGTAACTGCAGTTGGTAAGAATAAATGTTTTTATGGATCTCTCTAGCTCTTGCTTTCTTGGAAATACATCGATCCATTTAATGCGGAGATGAAAACTGGTGACAGAACATGACAAAAAAAGGGGAAAGAGGAAGAGAAGAGAAAATTTCAAAGAAGGAAATTATTCGTCACTGTCAGGTTTTGAACTTGAAACTATTATTGAATGAGAAACAAGCACCATACCCTAGACTACGACAAGCCTAATTTTACACAAATTATTCAAAGGTAAAATATGATTCTCTAAAACCTTACCTGTGACACTGCACTTAAAAATTCTGCTCGTGAAACAGTCCAACTTTTATCTTTGTCAGCCAATCTGAAGAGGTCCATGAGTCTCATGCGATTAAGAACCAGAAATTTATCAAGGATCTGCAAGCCATTGGGTGGTGGAACAGTAACAGATGGCACATCAGGAAGTGGAGTTGGTTCAGGGGGAACTTCAGGGGGTGGAGGTGATTCTGGCTTCCACAAACGATCTCTGCGATACTTTGCTTGCACTCTTTTCTCTAGTTCTGTTTTATCAGGTTTGCGCGCCAAGAAATTTTCATTCAAGCCAAGATTATCTAAATCACCCCGCAGTTTTTTTCTTTCATTTATCCAACTCTTGTATTTTGAAACTTTTTCTTCTTCCACCATCAAAGCTTTTTCTTCTGTTGTGGGTTCTTTCACTGGTTCAGGCTGTGGTCTCAGGGGCCCATTCAGAGCTGGTGGTCCAGGGGGTTGAAATACATTGTGATAAACACCGAGACGATGTTTTAGCGGAGTTTCCATAGGTGGGGCAACAATGGCCCTTGTTCTGCGATGTGGGCCACCAAATATCTTTACAGCGGCTTTGTAATGTCTAACATGAGGTAAGTCCCTTTGCTTAAAAAGGGAGAGGCGTTGATCCACTGGAATATGATCAAAATTATAGGGATCAAAAAGTCTTTGCAAATCAAAGCTGATGTCTGCTTCCAGGACATTTTCCCGTTTTCCTCCCCGTGGAGCCATTTCGACTGATTGTTTTTTGTGAGGTTTTTTACTTGTCTCAGGAACGTATGCTCTCTATAGTGGGAGCAGAAACTCTAAAATACCTTTATAGACACACTATCTCATGCTTCCGATACTACTGAAACGACTTTGGAGTGGTATACTTCCAACGCCCGCCATTGTTGCTACAGAAAACAATCTAGCGCCCTCTCGCGTTTAACATTTTAGTAGTCATTGGAATTGAAGAGTTCCGGTTACTATTCCGGAAAGGATTTCATTGGGATCAATAATTTAATTCGTTTAAATACGTCTGAAGCTTAGAATTTATTTTCAAAAGCACTAGACTATATAATGGACACGAACATCTTCATGAACAAGCGAAGGAGCATCTCTTGCCTTCCCCTTTTCTTTAACAATAATTTACAAAGATATGAAAAAAAAACAAGGGACGTGTTCTCCAAAGGCAGACCCTTCGTGTGTCAAGCGCGGCCGGGTTCATAATAACATTATACAATTTTTTAAATCACCCACTTGTACTATAATGACGATTACAATTGAGTAGGTTTGCAAGTGTGTGTTTGAGTGTGTGTGCGTGCGTGCGTGCGTGCGTGTGTGCGTGTGTGCCTGCGTGCGTGCGTGCGTGCGTGTCTGTGTGT